CGTTCCGTGCATTTCCACTGCAGAAAAGGTTGTTCCGGGCCGGAACTGACTTCTCTTTTTAACATTTACCGACCAATATGCACAAAAATCCATCAGTATATCATCATAAACACATCCGTTCTTTGTAGTAAGTGAACATAAACAGATGAGAAAGAAAACACATGTGTAACAGTATTTTTAGATGCACGTGCTGTTCGGTGTTAAAGAGACAGCAGCCTAATAAATGTGCTGCCTATCATTAATGTTAATCAAAGAAATCATTCACTGATTTGACTGAATATCATTTATAACTTTAATGAGGATTAATCTATGGTTTATTTATGAAAATAAAACTATGCAGTGTTTTTAAACTTTGGATTTTTATTGGATTTTTTTATTTTATTGGATTTGAAACTAGGAATCGATAACAATCAGAATCGATAACAGAATCAAAACCAATCAAATTCAAACGATACCCAACCCTAATAAGGACTAGGACAGTCAAAACCAAAATGACAGAAGCCATCATAAAATGCTTTGATTGTAGCACATGAGTTGTGTGGACCACTTATGATACTTTAATAGAGCTTTTTTGTTCTTTTTAAAGATTTAAAGCTCCGGACCCTATTTACTGTAATTGCATGGAACTTATTTACTGTAATTGCATTGCAAGTACATTATTAAAATATCCTCTTTTTGTGTGTTACAGAAAAAAGGAAGTCATACAGCTTGAGATATTGTTCCAATCATAATTTTAAATCTGCATCTGTGATTTAATGCCTGTTGATTCGTTACTGTATGCAGGCATTGTGGAAAACTGACTGATCTGGAATAACAGGTTTAAGCTTCTTTCACCTGCACAGTAAATTAGACAGTTCTCTGGAATACTCTATTCTAATTGGCCAATAATGACATTGAGCCTCAAATATTTTTTATAAAAATAAAAATGATAAAAATATATTTGAGATTTATCACCCTTTTTCACCCTTAATAAATGGATGTTACTGGCCAGTGTACATACCAATGTGAAGGCCCAAGAGCAATAATTATAAAGATAATAACTATATGAGATCTGTTGACTTTGGATGCCATTTGAGCAGTGGCGTAACTTTGCTTTGAAAAGTGGTGGGGACACCGCGCAACTCGTTTTGCTAGTTTTTTATTTAACAAACGTAATTTTTGCTTTTCAAAAATACATCGATGTACCAGGGGTATGGGATTACATCTCTGCCGCAATTCTGCGCGTGAAAGATCATATTTTGAGCGCGCAAAAGTGCGTTTTGCACGCGCGCGAACTGAGTTTTGTGGAGAAAATGTTTGTCTCGCAAAGAAGAAAGTATTTCGAGCGCATGAAAATTTATTTTGCATTTAAAATAAGTTTTTGGATGTGTGCAGACCTTCTCTTTTGCGCGTGCAA